TTTGTTTATCCGAGGGTCGCTGAAGTGTAGTGCCTTTGGAGCTGGCGGGGGTATTTAGGAGGGAGTGTTTGTGGTGTGGGTGTCCCCTCTCCCCTCTCTCTCCGCCCCCCACCCGTCAGTTCTCGATTCTAGCGGTCTGAACGATGGGTGTTCGGTTGCGAACTGTCGTGCTGTGAGTTGTTGAGGTCGAACGTGGTCAAAGGGGAGCAGCCTTGTAACGAACACCTTCGTTTCCGTGTGTCTTTGTCTCTTGACCCTCCGGATCGATTGCCTTTGGGTTGTGCACTGCTGCACATACCCACAGCTCGTCGCCGAGCTCGTTTCCTGCCTCGTTGACCGGCTGACCCGCGTGCGCCCACGTTGGGCGCTGACTTCGTCGACTCAACGACCCGTCTTCATCGTCCGCTGCTTGGCGAGTGAGTGGAGCGCAGCGCTGGACCGCAGGGAACGAGCATCGACGACATCGGTTTGAGACATCTGGAGAATGGTCAGTACGCTCGTCATACTGAGCTACTGAGCGAGGTGTGGAGCATCGTTTCGCAGTTTGAGCGTGTATTTTCGTGCCTCTCGTCGAGCTGGTCAGCAGTTGCATGTTTCTCGTTGTATGTGAACGGTTAAGGTGAACTTGAACACGAAGTTCAGCTCTGGGGTTGCGCCTCGCTTCGGCAGCGCTCGACAACACCCCAATTGTACTATTGGGCTTGAATTTACTTGCTGTGGTGATTCTCATTGTCCTGTGAGTGTTTATGAGCTAAGTTGGTAAAAAGTGTAGGAGCGGAATGCTCAGAAATTCTGGGCGATTGACAGGGCTGTGATAGTGGCCGTGCTTTTGGTGACTCCCATTGAGCGCATATGGCTGATCGGTGAGTCATATTGCTGTTCCAAAGCGCAGACACCCTCCTGGCGGTGTTTGTCAGCTGTTTGTAACATCATGGCACTCGAACAACCCATAAATGTTGTACACGTTTGAGCACGCGATGTTTGGGCATTTTTCCTAGTGCATATGGGCGCTGAGAGGGTGCACATGAAACTCTTTGATCATACCATCTGTGCGGGTAGGGGGGGGAGATGTAAATTAATAATGTGTGGCTCCGCATATCTGGTGGCTGAACTGCAGCAAGCTGCCTGCTCTTCAAGTGATTCAGATTGCAATCCCAAAATGTATCATCTGCATCCATGCCAGAATTCTGCAGCAGTGTATTCCGGCTGTGCACTGACGCCTTTCTATGGAGAACGATTGAGAGAGGGCTGTTTTGATGGCGTTCGGCGATCGGCGCTCAGAGGCAAATATGCCATGAACTCCACTCACATGAGGGGATCTGAGACTGCCCTGAATTTCAGGACTTCGAATGCTTGTATCATAAGGCAGAAGGGCCAGAAGTGGGAAGGAGCAAACCTGAGAAACCCAGCACAAGTGAGCACTCTGCTGGCGAGTGCAGGAGCTGATGATGAGTTGAGAATCGATCGCTCACGTGCGTAAGAACAGCTATTTGCAGCTGAGCAGGTGAATGCACATCAGGGGCAGGAGCCAAGCGAGGTCACTAGGAAAAAAAGGGCCAAATAACACTTTTGCGAACACACATAAAACACATTTTATCATAGTTTTACACGCCAAGAACACAAAAATAACACAAACCCGTAAACTTCGTACACGTTTGAACACGTGTTATTTGGCCCTTTTTTTCCTAGTGGGTAGTTTAGTGGGAAGGCTCAAATGGCGACTGCAACATGGCCGAAGTCGACGTGTTTGATTTCTGTTGGCACCCATTGCTATATACGACAAAGTCCTCTGTTGAAGCGCCTGTGGCGGCTGGTGGTTAAATGGGGGCGGGAGCGCCAAATCATGGGAGTATCTGTGTTTTCATGTGAAATCACGTGCAGCACAGTTATGGTAAGAGATGCAGCACTTGCGCAATTGAATTTTCGAGAAACTGCTCAAACCATTGTCAAAGAAGCAAGACGATTGGCATGAGCTGACTGGCAGCAGGGCCATTGAGGCCGTTCGGACAAGGACAATCGGGAATGCCATAGTGTTGAATCATAATGTCATCCGGTTGTGCAGGAGCATCATCGAAGTGTCCATTGCCAGAGAAAGTGAATTCAGATGAATATATGGGGCAGGTTTTCAACCTGGAGGTACTTCTAAAAGCCACCGGAACCAGACACTGAACATAGCGGGGAAAAGGGCAAGCCCCTTGTGCTTGACTATGTGGCGAGTGAGCCTCACGAAATAGGGGGCCGAGAGCTGCTAATAATGGAGGCTGGAAATGAGTATTACATCAGGGCCAGAAAGCAGGACAGTGCGTGGCACCGGTTCAAATCGTTGCCAGACTCCCTTAAGCTGACTTTGGACGCCGCTTCTATGCAGCACAGCGATGCGACTGATGATCAGGGGCTGTCAGCAAGAATATTTATGGGACAAACAGGGCCGTTTCGATCAGGTGATGCAAGCGAAATTTTGCGATTTTCTTTTGCGGCATCTATGTAAAGTGTATCGTGTACTTCGAACCATGATGGACAGGATTGTTGGCAGGAAGGAGAGCCAAAACTTGTGAACCTACTGGGTGCTGGGAAATAGTTATTATCTGATGGACGGCTGGTGCGACAACCAACAGGAAGTAAACTGGAGGTGGAAGGGTTGGTGAATACAATGGTGAGGCGCGAACAACATTTGTGGCCTGCTTCTCCAGCGGCAGGCCTGTCACCTTTCGTGTGATCGATAACAAGGAACACTTGGAGAGGATATCCTGATGGCTCAGGTAAAATGGGGCATTGAACACAAGGCGACACTGTCAAGGAAGTTGCTGACAGTGTGGGTTAGGTGCACGAGCGCTTCAATCCACGATGCCAGTTTGGACCCGCCGACTCGAATTCCAACATAATCGAAACAATGCATCCAACGCCCTAAATTCTGGACGGCAATTAAACTAGGGTGCAAATCAACAGCGAGCTACCGTGCTGGAAGAGGTATTCCATCAGTTTGGTCGCGCCGCGGTCGCCCGTGGGCTGCTCCAACTCTTGGCATGGTCGATCCTTCCTGCCATATTTCCATCAGCTCCTGTTTGTGTGTACTTATATTTGGAATTGCTGTCTCAAAACTAGAGCAGAGCGTATTGCGCGCACAAGCATGCTTTCCAACGTTTGTGAAGTCCGCCACAGGGACAGGTGGCGGCGCACCGCGCCACGGGCTGCTGAGGCTGTGCTAATGTCAAGCACTCACATACGAAGTCGCTTCATCGAGATTTCGAAGGCGCAACGATGTGAAGTTCCTTTACTGAAGTCGACGAAGCGCTGTCGAAAAACAAGCGGACGTGGTCGCTCGCAACAAGGACAATATCGTCATGGACTACCGCTTACGGTTGTCCCTCTCTACTACTATTCCCACCCATTTTCATTTGGATTCAGACCGACGTCCGCCGGATCCCTGGCATGGCGCAACCAAATGATAATAACGCACAGCGCACACAGGAAAAGGAAGGCTCACATTTGACAGGCAGAAAGCATGAAGTTGAAAGGACCTCCGATCTGAAATCACCAAAGCTCCACGTCTTGCTTGCCACGAGTGGGAGTATTCGATGAAGCAGTTGGGCCAGTGAGCTGAGTAGGGCTGGTTTATTGTGCAAGAAAATGTGCACACAAAAACAGCATGGGTAGGTCGTATATCTGGCGGTGATCCGTGCAATAACCGCTACAAGATACTGCTTGTCCGCACCAAACTGTTGTGGCCAACGGCACCATAGTGGTAATCGAGTGTGCGCTATTGTCTAACGTGTGCTACAACACCGGGCCTTTGGGTATTGCCATGAAAAAACGCATTGCATCATGAATTTCAATGCGGTACGTCGGCTGTTGCCCAGAAGTGGTACCTTCCGCGCCATTCCGCCTGCTGTATCTGAATACTGCCCGGCATGCCGCTGAACGGCAAATTCTGCGCCTGAAACTGTAAGCACTGAAGAAAAAATGTTTCTATCTCTTCCACAACGTGTGGACAACTTCCCATGGACGAATCCCTTGGCTGATAGCACTAGGAAAAAAAGCGCCAAATAACACATTTGCGAACACACAAAAAAACACATTTCATCAAAGTTTTGCACGTTGAGAACACAAGAACGGCACAAACCCGTAAATTTTGTACACATTTGAGCACGTGTTATTTGGCCCTTTTTCCCTAGTGTGGAAAACCAGGGCAATTTAGGAGAAGCGCGATTAATTGGTTCGTCGTGCTTTCAAAACAACGTTTGAAGTGGTGTACACACCTGGTATTTGTTTTAGGGCTAAGCACTGGTTATGTGTTAACCTATGCTCCGAATATGTGCGTGGATAAGGGGGGCCTTTCATCAGGAGTTTATATGCACCTGCTTGCGCATATGCCGGTAATTGGCCGCATGCCAATAGGGAAGGGGCTTAATATGTATAGAAATGGAAAGGCAATCTAAATCAATCGCAGTTTGCCCATGCGTTGCCACTTTTTCGTTTCCAGAATCCACAGCGCACATGGTATGTCCATTGTGTGGCCGTTGTGAAGCGGGCATTCTTGCCGACTGCGAGCGCCAAGCTGGGATGCCATCGAGTATGCACAACAGCAAAACTGATGGCAAAAACAGAAAAGATTTCATACCCCAACATGACTGCATATCCAGTCCGAGGGTGGAGAGACAAGCCACATGCAGTTTGTGTTTTACAAAGCATGGACAACATCAGGCACAGGTAGAAAATCCGGCCAACTGGTTCAGCTGCAAACTACGTCACACCGGCAAAGACGAGCACCCGCCTGGCTCGCTTGAAGACATCCTGCAAACTGCCCTACACCAAATTTCCAGGCCACGAGCCGACCGTCAATTCCTGACGAGAACCACAATCCTAAACACGCCCACCACCACACCCCCCCAACAGAAGCCAACACTTTCTGCTGGCCATGCATCATGGCCCCATCCGGGCTCACACCAATCCCCTGCACTATATCTCGCCGCCAGCCGCTACTCTACATGGCCCCCCAGCCCTCATTGCGCCAGCATCGACACAGCCCCGATCGACACAGTCCTGTTGGAGTCGTCAAACAGCCTCACGGAGTCCCGCTCCTCCGAGCTCAACTCCCTGTCGTCCTTGAAATCCCCGTTCAGATCCATCAGCGGTGCGTCCAAGTCCGTGGCCACCCTGTACCACCTGTCCTTGCCCACCAGCCGAACATAGCGCCCCTTCCCGGCCTCCACCACCGACAGGGCCCTCCCGCTCACCTGGTGTGGCTTTTCCGCGTGGTACTCAAACACGCGCGCCTCCTTCTCCTCGGCCCCTTCCTCTTCTTCTGGCGGAGGGCTGGTGTACAGGTGCACCCAGCTGGCAAACACCCCAGATATTTTCAGGCTCACGCCATCGGCCTGGGCGATCGACGCCTCGACGATGCTCCGGCAAAGGCGGTACACGCCCTCGCCCAGCCGGAGGTTGCCGGCGGTCAGGGTCACGATCTGCTCGACGTCCCGGCTCCCAGTGACCCTGTGCCAGCCCTTCTGCCTGGCCGCGGTGGGGTCGATCAGGCTGCGCCACATGTACTTGGCCACCGCCGCGTTGCGCACCACCACTGTGTCCCACACGGCCCCGCAGGACAGCGTGGACGCCTCGCACAGCCTGTGCTCAGCCGCCCATGCTGTTGCCAGGTCCCATAGGTGCCGCCAGCGCGGGCTCTGCCTTATGTACCAGTTGTTCCCCACAGACACGAAGTACGTGGACTTCAGCCAGGTCGCCGCGGCCATCATCGTGAACCCCTCCCACTCCTCCGCCTCGTTGGGCTGATCGCCCCGCTGCTCGATGACCAGCCTGGCAGCCTCCACCTGGTTTCTGGCATGCGACTTGTCCATGGCGAGCTCGCCATCTGCCATCTCATCCTCCACCAGCTCTCCCACGGTCCTGGCCTCACCATCCGCCCTACCAACCCCTTCCATCAATTCACCTCCAAGCCAGATCACACATGCATTCGATGTCAGGAAATTCAGCACAATGACCATCCCCTGGGCCTGGATAATGGCCATCCCATGCCCCTCTTTCAGGGCCGCCTTCTGTATCGCAGCACAGTGGGCGTCCCCTGGCCACTCCCCAGGAAATGCCTTCAACGCACACCCAGGGTACGTCGTCACTGAGTTCAGCACTGGGTGGAGCCGGTATGCCTTGGGGCACCATGTGGGCCCCTCCTTGGAGCTCGCCGCGCTCTGCAGCTCGCCCACGATGTCCACCAGCCCGTTGGTCTTCAACCTCCAGGCCTGGCTCTCCCCCCGCACCGCGTTCATCCCCACAATCTTCTCCCCGCCGAAGGACATCTCCACGTAGTAGTGCCCCGAGTACGGGAAAAACCTGCTGGCGATTGTCAAGCAGCCCAGCCCAATCTCCTGCATCCTCGCATCCGTCTCTGCCACCAGCTCCCGTAGTCCCTCCAGCCAGCGGCCCCAGTCCTCGGGCTCTTCCTCAACCAGCCCCTCCCACGCGCCCTCTTCAATCCCCCTCGTCGCCAGCCGCCTCAAGATCCCCCGCAGGTCCACCTCCGTGCTGGGGCCGGCCAACATGGCTCCCATGGCGTCCTTCAGCCTGGCCACGGGATCATCATACACACCAATCTCAAACAACCCAGGCGGTCTTGGCCCACCGCTCCCCTGCCCCCCAAACACATCCAACACGCCCCCGAGCGCATGCCGCACCGTCTGCAGCGCCTGGACCGCCTCCAGCGCCGATACTTCCTTCTCCCCGCGCCGAAAGCACCCCTTCACGCCGCTGGCCACACCTGGCCCCCTCATGACACCCAGCCCCCCATCCAACCCCATCTCCAGATTCTTGAGCACGTTTCGCGCCTCCTCCACCCCCCCGGCCTCCACAGCCTCCCTCCAGCCCCCGCCGCGCCGCGAAGCCGCATACCACCTCTTCACACTGTCTCCCGCCCTCTCCTTGCACCCTTCGCCGCAAAAGACGCCCCCAAGCGCCTCCACAACCTCCTCCTCCCCCTCCCCCACGCCCGAGATCCCCCCCCTTATGCGCCAAACGTCCCTAATCCACGGCCTCAGCGTCATCCTCACGGTGTCCCCCCCGGCAACCACCAGATCAGTCTCAACCGGCATCTCCGGCTCCCCCTTACTCCCACCACCGTTCCCTGCGCGGTGACCTCCCACCCCCTGTCCGTCCTTGACCCTCCGCAACCGACCCACGAAGGCGTGCATCTTTTCTGGCTCCCCGCACGCAAGCAAACCCTTGTCGCGAATCTCCAAGGTCCTCAGGGCGACCACCACGCCGATGCCGTCGCCCGACGGCCGCGATCGCCCCACCTCCACCGCGCCCGGCGGCATCTCTATCGTGTCGTCGGCCATGATCGGCCCGTCCTGCGGCCCCTGGTCCCGGTGGCCCTGTCGGTGCGGGGCGCGCCGCCATCAGGGCATCTTCGCTTGACTCGCGCGGGCGCACGGGTTGACTCGCGGCGCCCAAGGTTGTGGGGTGGGTGGGTGGGGAGGAGGGCCGGGGTGATGGCATTTCGCCGGCGCATTTTTTTCGAATTGGCTCGAAATTCTGTTCGAAATTGCTGGAAATTGTCTGAAATTGTTGCTCGGTTGAAAATCGGAAATTGCTGTGAAAATATTTCCGCAAATTCGATTAATATCTCGATTAATGAATTTCTTTTGGAATCGGGACTACGAGCAAGCTTGCTGCGGGGCGGGAGGAGACCTGCGGTGATGGCCTCGCACAAGCCCGTTTCCGCAAATGTTTCGGAATTCTGTTGGACATTGGAAATTGGATTTTGTGTCGAAAATGTATTAGGATTGATGAATCGGAGCCATGACCAAGGGTGTCGCGGGGCGCGAGGGGGATGGCCTTGATGGCAGCATGCGGCCCATTTCTGGAAATTGTTTCAAATGTTGTAGATATTATTTCGAGAGTCCTTGAGACTGATGGAATCGCGATCCCACGGATTGCTTTTAATGGGTTTGAAACTAAGAAAACGCTGATGACGTTGTATGGGCAATCCCCAACATCCCTCGCATGAGCAGGCGCCCCATCCGTTAATCGCATATGCAGTCCGTGTGCCTCTTGCAATTCCAGACGGGTCTTGATTTCAGTTTGACCTAGGAAACACGTGCCAAGGATATCCATTATCTAGGCGATAACTTTACACATCGTAATGTTTTGCCTTGCAACATTTTTCACGCCTTCCTTTTGTGCACACCAGCCTATACGCCATTGTTGTGCTGCGCACCTTCACGCCTTCTATGGCATCATACGTCCATGGCTATATCCATTGCAGCCGCACCATATCTCCGCACTCCCACTGGGGAGATTTGAGAGCTTCATGAAGTGCTCTCATCGGTTACCATTCTTCTGATCAGAAAATTTGAGAATACATGTGATTCAGTGGCTCAAGTGCCGTTTCAATCACGACATTTTCGCTGGCCTCGCAGTCCAAGTTCTCCTGTACAACATCGACCTTGCTAACGCTCTAACTCAAGCATGCGAAAGACGAAGGAATTCGACATGAGCATGTCCCGAAGAAAAAGTTGTTGTTCAGGGGCAGCAGGTGCGAATGCTACGGATAGATCGGACACGGGCACTGACTGATTGCATTTACATGTCGTTGACTTTGTGGTTGTGAAATTTTGTCTACTTTATGAATTTCATCCTAATTATAGATCTAAACAGAAGCAACAAACAATAAACACATTTTTGTTGTTACTCCATTGTCCCACACTGACTGGCTTTCTGCTTTGAAAGATATTTCGTGATAAAAATGGCCTTTAAACTACTAGTAGATGTCGCAATCGGAAGGATCCGGTCCCCAAACATTGGCTACTAATTTCTCAAAAAATTTCTGACTAGTACCTGCAAGACGGCTCCGAATCTCCCCCTCGATTGGTCCAAATCAGTGTGCATGAAGATATTGCGTGCTCTGGATGGCCCCGTGGCTCTCGGCTGCTTCCCACGCCTGCTAGTGGCAAAGCAAAGTCGTTACCGCTGTCGTGGACAAACAAGGCGTCCACTACGTGGTACAGTGCCTGCCAAACTCGCTCTACCGTGTTTGGTCCTCGCAGTAGCGGGCCGTCGCCACAGAATGGAGATGCTGGAAATCATAGCCCTCCTCGATCTCCAATTCACACATGTGTGGCTGTACAGCCACCACAACAAGCGAAATCAGCCAACTTCCAAGAATCTCAAGCCCGAGATATGTGCGGGCTGTCGCTCCAAGGCTGCGTTGTAACTTTGTTTCGAACGAAGGTGCCTTTCAAGCTCACGTCGGGCTCGAGCGTCAACGGGACGTGAACAACACAATTGCATTCCAATTTTGGAAACTCGACAGCAGGGCTCATTTAACGTTTCTGTTTTGAAAACCAATACCCAACGCACCAGTTCGCGTTCCCATTCCTCAAACCCAACCGTTCCTCGCATTTCAGCATTTAGGTTTGAGCGGTGTGCACCCACCCCTGGGCGACCGCCCTTGAGCGCCGTCCACGCCTGACCGACTCTCCCCCCTATCATTGGTGGACAACGGCATGTTTGCGATGTCAACTGCGTTGCTATATGTTTTTTGACACAAAGTGATGCCGTCACAGCCATTGCGATGGTATAAAGTGACTGAGATGGCATCAATTTGCGTCAAACGGTGTCGCAATTGGCATAGCAAACAGACCGTTTCCTGCTGGTGCTTATGATATGGGAGGCAGAGGCAGGGATTCGGGAGAAGTCAGCGAGGCACTGCTCCCCAGAGATCGAGGGGTGGGTAGTCACAAACGATGATGGCTCTCCTGCTAGTTGTGACTGATCAACTGCAACTCCCAGGATGTGCACCTCTTTTCCCATCATGATGTTTTCCCATCATGCGGCGCCGCCTGTGCATCGATTGTGCATGGACATGCAGGACTGGGTGATTCGTGCGCCAAAGCGGCCGGGTGTGTACGGCCTCCCCAATTGATGCCACGCCCGTCGATGTGTGGTCAAGACATCGCCGCCGCAGCGGCTCAAATCGACCTGTTGTGCGGCTATCTGAGTGGGTGCATTATTGATGGCGAGAGATCGCAATAAAACAAAACCTGCTTTACAGATCGTCCACGATGCTGACCCGCCGGACTTATTTCAGCGAAGCTCTGAAAATGCGAACGTTGCCCCACGTTCACGCCCGCGTTTCCACAAATGACACGTTGTCACGCATCCCACATTTCCGTTTGAAAACCGAAACGCAATGGGCAGGTGCACGCTTTGAATTTCAAGTATCGAAACGTAGGGCAGATTTAGTTTTGGTTCCAGAAGCCCAGACGTAGTCCACACATCTGCGTTACCACTTGAAAGGGCAGTACGCCCACCCCTGGCCGCCGTCTTATCTCACAACTCGCCGACCGATGGGAGGCCTCACACAGCCCCCCTCGGTGCGGCGATGGATGGGAAAAAACCCTGGCCCAGGAAAGGCAGTTCTCATGGAGCGAATCGACCTTGAGTTGCAACCATAGTTATTTGGAGCTCGCTTGCGTTATAAGGCACGGGAGTTCCAAATCAGGTTCTCCAGTACATTATGTTATTTGCCGCCACACCTCTTCTTAAGCACAACGCCAACCTGCTCTCGGAACGGCGAGGATATTTTTGTACCGGAAGCACTGTTTTGCTGAACCAAAGAACTGGTCCTCAAAGCCGCGAATACGGCCATTTTGCAGTGACGCCGAATTCGAGATTTCTGGCCGGAGGGCCCCGATCATTAAGTGTTGCCAAATCTGCAGTAGTCAACAGATTGACTTTAATTCTTGACCGTATACTCCAAACTCATAGGCGCAACTTTGGAAGAATTCTCGCCAAAACACCGGAAATTTCATTATGGGGAAATATGGCCCCAGGTTCATCAAGGACGATTAGGTTGGGGCAGACGACAGTCCTTTGAGACGCGCCCATATTTCCCAAGATTTCAAGGGAGTGAATCACTTGGACGGATGATGGATCCCATCCTCAAACTGGCCACTACGGTTGGATTGCGCAGATCGCACCCCACGCTTGCTGCACGCAATAGGTGTCGGATGGGAAGCTGCGGAGGCAGATCATTGCCTGTGTATGCATGGAAGAGGACGACGTCTGGGGAGACATAGAGGGCTGTTTGGGGTCTGTGCGATGAGGATCAATAGCCACATCATCTTCGCAGCCTTGACTGTGAATAGGTACACCTCCACTCATCGTGGACTGTACTGAATCTCCATGTGCACTAGACTGAAACTCTGCAATCAAACGAATATCGTGTCCACAAGAATGGTAGCATTGATACCTGTACTGAGTGGGCAATGCTCAAACAGGCATCGCAATAAAAACTTCTAGGTACAAGACATCTCGAGGCAATTTCGAAATGGAAAAAATGGACTCGATGCTCTTTCCGCATATTCCAAAAGCGCAAAATGGGGAAAAGCACCGGGCTGTCAGCATTTAACTCAAAGAGCCTGCGGTATTGGTGGACACTGTCAAATTATTGTTGGCTCCTTCGTACCTGGAATATGAATTTGGTACCTGGAATTTGATTTTTGAGGGCACCCTAAGCCTTCGCTGCCACAGATGGCGCAGGTCGTCATAGATAACTGATTCATTTGATTGCGCGGAGAGTTTCTGTTTTCTGCGAATACAGCGAGATAAATTGCTCTATAAGGAGATAGAAGAACCACAATTAAGAATTCTGTGGAGTTCAGCTGCGGCAACGCCACCTGTGTCGAGAGGGGCGGAGGGTGACCAGTAGGACAGGAACAGAGACTAACAGGCAAGAGTTACTATAGACATGGGGAGAGATAGCGACAGATACCGGATAGAAGGTATGGTGCAGAGAAGCAGGCATGCATATAGACGGAGAGACGCAGGCGGAAATGGAGACAGAGACTGGATGGAGACTGCGGAAAAGAAAGTTCAGAACTTCGGAAAGGCAATAGCGCGGCGGCTCACAAGCTCGGGCGGTCGAGTGGGGATGTGTGCGCACACGCCGGTGGGCAGCTTCTGCGGCTTCAGGGCAGCAGGGGATGATGCAGGTGGGGCGCCTGATGCAGGTCCGGTGATGGGCCGGAGTGCAGATCGGGCGGGGATCGCCGAGGCACGGCGCGCCACACACGGCGCTGCTGCCGCGGTCGGAGGGACAGCTCACAAGGCAGCAGAGCCCCAGCGGCCTTTCCGCATGGGGCCAGAAGTCCCAAACCAACAACGGGGCCGGCAGGGCGCCCGCAAACTGAACGCACGGGAGAAGTGGAGAGGTCTTTGACGAATGCACCCATGGCAGTTTAGTGTTATCAGCTGTTGCCATGTATTTGTTCAACGCCTCTTTCGGCGGCGCACCTCTGACGATTCTCATGGCAGCACCATCCCCGTTGACGTG